CTGGCAAGAGACTGTCTGTGCATGTGTCCATGAATTTTTCAATGCGAAATGTTGTCTGATTCTTAATTTGCAAAATTTCTTACTAGAAGTTTCATGCGGTGATCCAAGGCTTCAAAGCTTTCACGTGCCAGCACCTTGGATCACCGCATGAAACTTCTTTCTAAGTTTCAATCTCCCAGTTTTCCGGCTTCTGAGATAGTGACTGTCATAACAAAACCTTCGCATGGCCTTACTTATGAGCTCGGCATACTTGGGAGCTAAATTTGAATTTGTGAGGTATCCGCACAGGCAGAAAAAAACTTTCCTGAAATTTCGGCCTCATAGCTCTTCTGGCTCCCAAGATGATTTTCCTCATGAAAAATATCGCGGGGCTGCACGAGAGATCCGGGCAAAAATGAAGTTGAATTTGATTTTGCGAGGTCGCCACTCTCCAAAATTTCGGCTTTCTATCTTTTATGGCTTTCGAGATAGTAATTTTTTTCGACAAAACTTTCACCGGGCCGTACGTGATACCCAAGCGTGAATTTATATTCTTTGATTCACACGTGAGACGGGACATACCCACAAAATTTTATGTTCCTAGCTTCCTTGGTTCCCGAGATAATAATTTTCCCCGCCGAAGCTTTCACAAGGCCGTATGTGTTACCAGCGGGAACAAGAAGGCTGAATTTAAATTTGCGGGGTCTCACGTGGGCAGAGAACATCTCTCAAAATTTCAGCTGCCTAGCTTTTTTGGTTTCCGAGTTGAAAGTGCAGGAGAAAATGTGTTCGGGCACACACACAGACAAGCCCGTGACAACATGCGTTTTGCGTTGCTGTTATGCAGCGCAAAACGCATTAAAAAACTGACTAATTAGCGGTCATTCGATGTGCCAGTCCTGAAACGGTAGGTTAAATTTCAGGTGCCGTACTCGGAGAGCCGTTCATCTTGTGCTAGTACGAGTACTAATGCTACTGGTGGCCGCTGGCATGGCGGTGGCAGCAGTGCAAGCAGTGGTGTGGTACTTGCGGACTGTGATGAAAGCGGTGCCCGTAGTGGAAGCACGCCGCACGTACCCGCAATTTGGCGTCAAGGGCAATGCATCGGCTCTGGAGCGTTTGGAACAGTCTATCTATGCTTAGATATGGAAACTGGGAAAGAAGTTGCCCTGAAAAAGTTAGGCTTTTGCATCTTGATGCTTGAGGTTTTTCTGGAGAGGCGAAGCATTCATGTTTTGAGATGGCGTTCATGTTTTTGTTCCCTGGCGCAACTAGCTATCCATTGAAGGCCACCAGTCGTTCACAAAAATTGCGTTAACATCGATCTATCAGTTCAAAAAGTTCGGAACAAATCTATTCTGTTGCCAAAAAATTGTTAATTTGCAGTTTTCCCAAATA